TATGGAAATGTGTCTGGAATGTTTCAGAGTAAATCTTTCTATATTCATGGAGACCAAACCTGACCAAGTTACAGGTCAGATCTGTGGAGAGGTGACCCCGTTCAGTCAGAATGTCTGTATTTCTAGGTATTTTTGAGCCATAAAACCACCTGTAATTTAATAAATGTAAAGTCGAGCTGTTTAATGTCATACTGTGAAATATTCCAGGCAAAGCAAGGACAAATCCATAAAAATAAAAAGCAGCTGATGGACCCTCACCTTTAAAAGTTACACAGTGCACCTTTAATATTTTGCCAGATTGGCATTTGCCATACCTCTCCACTAGGGCTGCGTATCATTAAGAAGTTGCCGATACAATACATATCTCGATATATAGGCAACCATACGATACGTATCTTGATACACAGGCCACGATACCATACATATCTCGATACATAGGTGACAATACGATAAATATCTCAATACCAGGCGATGATACCATACATATCTTGATACATAGGTGACAAAATGATAAATATCTTGATACATAGGTGCCGATACAATATATATCTCGATACATAGGCGCTGATACGTTGCATATTTTGATACATAGGTGACGATGCAATACTCATCTCTATACAGAGGCCATGATATGATACATACCTCGATACAGTGCACTTTCAGTTTCTGTTTCGGATACAATATATTTCAACTAGATTTGATACAGTTCAATAAAAAAAAAAAAGCAAAATCTTGGCAGTGATACTAAGTCTTTGTTGAACCATTTCTTGTGCAAAGTTCATATGAAACACAAACATTTTAATCATCAAAACAATGCAAATGTCAAATGTGTCGCATAAACGAGTTTCCTTCCACTAAACGAGCAACAAAACTGTAGCTCTGTAACAAAATAATTGAGTAAAATATACCAAAAAATACTCTTGGCGATATATCGATACAGCAGCCAATGATATCAATACTGTATCATTATTATTTTATATTTTTGCACACCTCCACTTTCCACTGTTTTGGATCAAGTTAAAGTTAGAATCGAAGTTTGACAAGTATCTCTGAATCAAACTGAACACCGCGCGATCAGATTGTATCCATAAATGCCTTGACGTGTATCACTCTTTTTGGCTCCCATACCGAGTCGTTGACAAGAACAGACTCTTCAACATGGCTGCCGAGGTGTTTGCCGTGCGGCTAAAAATATTCCTATCAGTCACAGACCCAGATATGTCAAAACACAAATGTAAAACGGCAAATACACCGTTTTGCTTATCTGTTTATGATATTGCAGGCTACTACATTTTAATGACAAAAGAATGTGTCAAAATAATTCTGCTATCCAGTATCTTCATAATATAGCAACCTCCAACATGTTATGACTAATACCACAGTTTATTAGACTATAGGAAATATATGTGATGCCAAGAACATATTGCTCAACATAAGGCGCTGCCAATTTTTTTTCATCCCTTGGCTTGTACATTTGAAGTACTTTATTGCAGTATAAAATGTATGTTAGAATAGTGATAAAAATGTAACCACAAGGCTGAAGCAAACAATTATATACTTATTTTAAAGTCATTACCAGATGGATGCAGACTTCCCCATACCTCATTTTTTTCTTATTTTCATTTTTCTCAATTCAAAGCTGAGCGTCTTTACTGAAATTAGTTGGTCCGTTCATTTTTTTTGTTCATTAGAATCTCAAGAATGAAAAAAAAGTTTATATCCAATGATTGCAGAAAATGTTTGTATTTTGGATTAGTGTTGTCACATAATTTTAATACAATTTCAAAGTCTATATTGATACTAAACAATAGACTCGATACTCTATACCAATTTTGATACCCAAATTATCATTTTAAAAGCAGTTTTTAGACAATATTGTAATTTGTATTATGAAAGAATAATATTGGTTTATTATTCCATGTGGTTTTACAGTAGATTTGAGAAAATTTCAAACTCTATTTTGATACTAAAGAATAGACTCGATACTGTTTTTGATATGGTAAATGGTCACATTTTTCTATAGCGCTTTTTCCGCCTTCAAGGCACTCAAAGCACAAGGAACAAAAAAACAACTCACCCATTCACATACCACTGTAGGCAGACACAAAGGTGCGTTAAGTGACTTGTTTTTATGTTGAGAGTGGGATTCAACCGCCAACCTTCAGACCAGTGGACAAACGCTCTACCAACTGAGCTACTGCCGCCCAAATTATCATTTTAAAAGCTGTTTTTGGACAGTATTGTAATTTGTAATATTGAAGCATAGTATTTGTTTATTATTCCATGTGGTTTTACAGTAGTTAAATAAATAAATAAATAGATAAAACTATTCAAGAAAGGTCCAGTTTACGTTTTTCCAGTATCAACACTTGCTCAAATGAGTATCTAGTCTCGATAATAGTTTTCATATCTGGTTGTTGATACTTTTGACAACCCTATTCTGGATTAATATCACCATTTGAATCAAAGTTTTCTCAAAGTGACAGATATACTAAATCCAACCACAAGTGGTCAGTAAAAGAGAAGAAGCAAATGTTTAGTTTAGGTTCTGTAACGTAACAGAGTTTATTATCAAATGCAAATGTAAAAAGCTGCATTACCAAAATAGCTAACTGGAGGCACATAACGCATTTATTATTGCTGGTTTAAATACTTCTCAGAACAAATAAAACAGCCAATTGACGTCCATGTTACCCCACATAATTGCTGTGATTGGCAGTTTATAACAGCAGCAGCCTCCAAGTGAGGAGAAGTCATTACATTGAAGGGCTTGTGAATTACCCAGAGAGGCATCCATTTCTGTCAATACATTCAATTGGCTCTGGTTAGCACTGCTTTCCAATGCCGACGGGTCATTATGTGAGTGTCCATGCCGCGGATGAAAAAGCCCAACTGTGCTCCGTTTGAATGTCTCTCCTCTGCTGGCATAATATTATCACACATTCAAAAACAAGAGAGATGGAGAAAATGGCACGGCGGCCATGTTTAAAGAGGTACTGGCGGACAATGTTATGAGTCAAGTGGGCCGCTTCAGTCCGTGGAGTCTCCCAGCCTCAGTGCTCGAATGTTCAACTGGCTCTTTCACTGCTCATGTGCCAGCGTGGCATCAGGACTCTGCCATCTACCAAGCGACGCCGGTGCCAACGTCTACCCCCGTCGAGATTAGCACAAGCAGTTTTATCTCTCTTTCAGCCACAGTCCTGCCCTCAGCACAAATTAGCAACTGGGGCGAATCAATGCGGTTTACAAGATACAAAAGTGTGCACAATTAGGAGGAATTTTGCTCCTATAAATATTCTAAATGCACATTCATCTGTTTGATACACAATTTTTTAAGGTGGTAGTCGACTTAAGAAATTCTTGATCAACGAAAGACCTGTCCTGCTGATTTATTAGTCGACTACAAAGGGGACGTAACAAAAGCTCTCAGTATCAGAATAATCTATTATCTCTATGTGTCTGACTCAAACTGCTCTTGCAAGACTACAACGGCATGAGACAAAAACAAATATTTATGCATGAAGGCACTAGGAAACAACAACCTGATCAAACGTTTTATTTTTTCTAACATATAAATACTAGGGGTGTAACGATATTCAAGGCTCACTGTACGATATACTGTGGGGAGACTAAAAATTAGGGAACATCTCTTGGTACAATATTTTCATGATATACATCTCATGATACTTAATTGTGATATTTTGTGGAAGCTAACAAAACTGTTCATATACTACTTTTTCATCTTAAAATGCCTTGACAAGACTTAATCCAAAGAACTAAGACTTAAAAGTGCTTAGAACTGTTATTTCTTCATGTAGTCTGCACTGAAATTAAGTTCTTTCTGTCTTTTTTTAGCTATTGCTGCACCATAACTCTTAATTTAAGCAAAGAGACTTGTAATTCGATATATTGTGATGGTCCACGATATTACTGTGAGAACTTTGACGATACGATATCACAATATTTCAGTTATTGTTACATCCCTAATAAATACAAAAACAAACAAAAAACAAAAAATTAGCTAACTCACTCACTAACTTCTCATTTGAGCTGTTATCCCATATAAATCCTTATAACCTAAACAAAATGATTAGTCAACAAATGGAAATTTTGGTCGACCAAAACATCATCAACCGATCAACTAAAGGACCACAGCTCTACTAGTTTTACAGCAATTAAGCTTCAATCTTTCATTTATAACATTCAAAGTTCCATGTTATGATGTAACGATATCCAAATCTCTCGGTACCACATTATCACGGTACGGTATTTATTGCGATATTGATTTGAGGTTAATATAACTGTAGATACGATGCTTTTTTGCATTTAAAATACTTTGACAAGAATTTGGTGTGAATTATTTCCATCATAATCCCAAGAATTAAAGTAAAAAACGTATCTCTTCATGTTGTCTGCACTGAAATGAATCATGGGATATGTAGTTCCTGATTGTCATAAGATGTTGCTGCTATAAAACCATGCATTTAAGCAAAGGAACTTGTAATTCGATATATTGTGAGACTTTTGAGAATACGATATCACGATATTTCAGTTATTGTTGCATTCCTTGTAAGTAACTTAATGAAAAGAAAAACAGCAATTTAGAAATCACGTTGACCAATACTGGACAACATTTTTCCACATCTTAACCTAAAATCCCTGCTTTAACATACTGTACATTGGCTTAATTTTACAATTTCAGTTTCAAATATTTTTATGAAGTATTGTAGATGTATATTGACTTTTCAACTTCTGTTAATAATTTGCGAAGATATAGATCAATTTTGACCTGGTGCGGTATCCAATCGTACGTTCCCATAGCAGGTTTGGGTTAAATAGATTAGTAAACCATACAGAAACATGGGTACACAGCATTTCTGGAGTAACCCTAACCCTTTTAAAAATATTGGAGCTGACAGAAATAACAAAAAGTGATTACATGTGAAAAAATAATCAAATAAACTTAATTGTAATAACATTTTTGTATTTTTTGCTCCCAGGATCCTACATGTTTGTGGACGTGTCTCAGTACGACGCAGGAGAGAAGGCACGTTTTCAGCTCCCTGTCATGAAGGAGAATGACACCCACTGCATCGACTTCAACTACCTCCTCAGCAGTCCCGACGGCTCCAGCCCGGGCACCCTTAACATACTGGTCAAGGTGCGTCTACACACCAAATACCAATCCAAATCCATGTACCTTTGAGAAAACACAGTTTGATAATATATGCTTTTCTTGCAATATCAGCATACTCAATATATTTACTATGAAAGCCACCTGAACCTCTAAGGAATTACACAGACAATCCTATTATTTAGGGCTGTCAGAAGTTTTGTTAGGCAGTAAACTAAAAGAAAACATTCAGAAAAAACATAGGAAACACGAGGAACAAAATACAAAGCATAACAGGAACAACTCACTGCAAAAAAGAGAACCACACTATGGACTGGGACGGAGCAAACATCATCAAACATTAGGACAGAGGAAAACAAACACCGCCGCTGGATTAAAGAAGCAGTTGAAATACGGAAACGTACCCAGAGGACGATAAACGGGGACGAGGGGGCTTTTTTACTCACACACACCTGAGATACTGTCCTGAGGAAGTCGGACTGCAGATGGCGCTGTCGTCCTGCCTCCACCTGTAGGAAGACAGCGCCAAAATCTTTATAAATCAGCTGACCGGACACGTGACCACTCTGAGGAAGACCAAAGGGAGCAGTCAAAAATATCAAGAATGAAATCAAACTCTTGGTCTGACAAAAGAACCTTATAACATAAATTATCGGAAGACCAAATGAACCTCACTGGACTATAATTTCATTTGGCTACCCATTTGAGCAGGTGTCAATTGTAAAAAAGTCACATTTACAGGACAGAAATTAACCTTCCCTGAATAGCTTTAGAATGATCTAGAAGTATAAAACCACATAAATTTGTATACACATCGACCTTTATGAAACACAGATTACAGAGATAATGCCACATGGTAATATAAAAGAAAATAGTACAATGTAATGTTGAAAATTATATTCTATTGTCTAAAAGAATAGTGTTTTTAATTATCATTGAGGTTTCAGAATTGGTATTGAGTAACAAGGTCAGTATTTACGTATTGAAGTACTGAAACTATTGAAATAGATTACAATGGAGTTACAGTGTTCCAATAAAACTCAAGTATGATCACAATGTTCAACAGTTATTATACAACTTCTTATATATAAAGTATGTCATTGTCATAGCAATAAAACACACAAACATTTAAATCAGACTAATGTGGGATTAAGCAAACAAGTTGTGTTACTGAACTCGTCAAACCTGAAGCGCAGTCTTGTAATTCATCTGTGTCATATTTGTTTATTCTACTACACCTACATCTACAGGCATAACAGACTAAATACAACACACTCTAATTTGCAATATTAACATTCCGAGTTAGATTGACATGTCATTGCTGTCATGTTGTTGATTTACATTATGCAATACTTTTGACAAACACTCGCATATATATTGACTGACAATACTTTATTTTTACAGTTCTTGTTAATTAAAGCTTGTATAAAAATAAGACGGTTTAATTTGTACTTTGTCTCAGTCTGCTTTTTACATTTATACGTTATTTTAAAGTAGCAAGGCATACTAAAATACAATTATATAACTATGATTACACTAGAGATGTCATGCTCATGAAAATACGAAACACGAAAATTGGTTGGTGTTATTTATTGCTACAGACCAAACTGCTTTGTAGGGATGTAACGATATCCAAATCTCTCGGTACGATATTATCACGATATGCATCTCACGGTACGATTTTTATTGCGATATTTTGGAGAGGTTAATATATTTCTAGATAGGACACTGTTTTTTTGCTTTTAAAATACCTTGGCAAGATTTTGGTGTGAATTATTAGCCATAATCCCAAGAGTTCAGGTAAAAAAAAACATATAATTTCATGTTGTCTGAGCTGAAATGAATCATGGGATTTGTAGTTCCCGATGTCTATAAGCTGTTGCTACTGTAAAACAATGCATTTAAAGGGCCCATCTCATGCAAAATCTACTTTTCAGAGCTTTCTACCTTCTAAGAGTGATGTGTGGGCCTTGTATGTATCGCCAAAGTGGTTTTTAGATTGATTCAGCATTTTTTAAAGAAATTGCAGCGTATTTCTGCCACCCTCCCACGTGACAACGAATTAAAGCTGCTACAACAATGACACGGCCAGCTACACTTATGACATGTTTGATAGTAGAAACCGCTTCGCACCCGCCCCCTCCCCGCTCCACCCTGCATCGGCTGACAATTCCCACATGAACACCTAAACAAAAGCAACAGCATAAGCTCATTGTTCTACACTGCAGTGTACACGATATGATACGTTTATCTACTAGTGTTTATTAATACTTTACCAATCAGTAATGTTCAGCTGATGCCGACGCGGTGCTTGCGCTAACACATAAGGCTGAACGCGCTGTATCGCCATGATGAAAAAAAGGTTATTCCTATCCCTGTCAGGGTGCACGCCTGTCTCCCCCTCCCTCCCTGAGATGGGCAGAGGAAGGGCGGCTCACTCAGAGCCTACGTCACATTTGAAGGGCCGAGCATGTGCTTTCTCAGGATGGGTGGGGGGATGAGCAATAGCCGGTCTTTCATAGTTCCTGGTCTGTGTCTGCCTCCAAGAAATCTTTAAGATTTCATAAATTTCATAAATTTATAAATTTCATAAAATTTGGGTCCAAAACCCAAATTGTGCTTGTATATGTGCATAAGATACAATGCAAAAAGAGTTATTTTGCATGAGATGGGCCCTTTAAGTAAAGGAACTTTTGATTTGATATATTGTGACAGTCCATGATATTATTGTGAGACTTTTGACGATACAATATCACGGTATATATCACGGTTATGGTTACATCCCTACTGCTTTGTCAAATTAGCCTTTATGTCTGTTGTTGTATAAACTTGCATTATCTTTACCTACATTCTTTTTTAATGTGTCTCCACAGGTGAACAAGAGTCCTCGCAACGCTAACCCCATATGGAACGTGACATCCTACACTGGTGAGACAGACCTGCTCCAGGCTATAAACATCCGCACTTTCACTCACTTAGCCACTCCATCATCACATTGACTTTTCCATTGTGCTTTCAGGTAAAGGCTGGCTGAAGGCTGAGCTGGCGGTCTCCACATTTTGGCCCAATGAATATCAGGTAAAGCGTTATATCGGGTGATGACGGGTCTGTGAGGGGAGCTAAATGTTAATGCTTTGTTATGGGAATACAATCGGACAACGCGCACAAACACATGCGGAGAGGAGAGCGGGTGATTTATCAGTGTTGACTGGGGCTCAGGAGGTGACGATTAGGCTACAGCAGCACTGAGAAAGACATGGGGAGGTTGTATGTGGCGATGCTGGACTTTAATGAGGTTATATATGGAATCAGTGGACAGTTTTGGACGCTCTTGTAGGGGGAACAGCTTTTACATAGATAATTAGTTTGGAAAAGTGAAAGAATGTGTAATTAGTTTGTACTGAATCAGATCCATAGACCGTATACAAAACTGAACTAAGGGAGTGTGACTCGCCCATTAAGTTCGGCTCCAGTCAAATGAAGCCCATCGAGGCGAGTCGTTATGGGCGAATTTGGACCCAAGTTCCATATCAGAAATAGGATTGCTTTACAGACAAAATAGCGAAATAAAAACAGGATCAGGATCACATAGAGCGGTTTAATACAAACATTTTAAAACCAAAACAAGAAGCCTGAAAGCAACAGCTACACAGAGAGGGAAAGCGTTTTTTTCTGAACCAGGACTAAACCAGGACTAAACCAAGACTGAACAAGGTCTAAACCAGGATTAAACCAAGACTTAACCAGGAATAAATCAGGTCTAAACCAGGTCTAAACCAGGACTTGACAGAGAGAAGGAGAACCCCAAGCCCACGGAACAGGGTGTCCGCAAAGCTTGATCGGGCGGCATCTGCCCTTAACCCCATGGTGCGCGGAGCTGTGCGCCAGTCCTTTCGCCTATGGTCACCTGACGGTCTTCGCTGGCGCACCTCTGGGCCCATCCCATCCACTCAGACCTGGTTCAGTCCTGGTTCAGTCCTGGTCCCTCATGTCGCAGGTGGCTATAGGACAGTCCTGCAGATATCATGAGCCTATGCAGTTTGTTTTCACCATTGCTAAAAGCTCCAGTTTGACATTAAAGTTGTAGCTATTTTGTAATTGTTATTTTTTTATATCTTATGTTGAGAGAAGTAGGTAGGACGGCGTACCCCGTGTACCACACCCACTACACCCCTGGTGGTGGTAAACCAATATTGTAGCCACAAGTGTTGTGGGATAGACTGACAGAAGCGAGACTGCCAATCTACACTATCAGCCTCTTTCAACCAACACCAGCATCCCTCACATGGACACCACATTCAGTCTAGGCAAAGCGGGTGAAGTCTCCAAGGACACAATAATAGAAATTATTTTTTGTTTTACCACCATTATCTAGGTAGTTAAGTGTTAAAGTGTAGTTTCCATGCCTGTGTGTAATTATAGCACTTCCCCATCCTACTGTTGTTGCTGGTGTTGACAGATACGTTACATGTTGTGGCTGTGTGGCTTGTCCTCACAGGATTCTCACACACACACACACGCACACCACACACACACACACACACACACACACACACGCACACACACACACACACACACACACACACACACACACATACACACACTTGGGGATCATGTTAACAGATCCAACCCTGGGGACACTGTACTACTCTGACTGCAGCGGGCATCTTTCACCGGGCCCATCTGGAACCCAAGCCCCCTCCGTCATGATAGTCGTGTGTCAACATGTTTTAATTAAACATAATCAGTGAGGTTTGCCCAGGCTTTAAGGGAGCGCACAGGTTATGGGATCACACGTTATGAAGCTATTTCTTCTTGTTTGAACATGTTTCCGTATTTGCACTTTAGCTGGAGTTCTAATGAGACGGGGGAGGAATAGACGCAGGCAGACACATGTATGCGCAGGCTGAGATTAGAAGGGACGCACGCGCTCATCAGTGCATCTGAAAAGAGCGATATTAAGGCTTTATTTTTACAGTTCTTGTTAATTAAAGCTCATATAAAAATAAGACGGTTTAATTTGTACTTTGTCTCAGTCTGCTTTTTACATTTATATGTTATTTTAAAGTAGCAAGGCATACTAAAATGCATTTATTGCAACTATAATTACACCAGAGATGTCATCCTCACGGAAAAACTGCTTATATTGGTTGGCGTCATTTATTGCTAATTACTTTTACTCACTACAATTTTAGAAAAGTTAAACCAAATAAAAAAAACAAAATCTATTTAAATTGACACCAAAATAGCATGTTAATTTGTTGTTGTGTATGTGATATTACGGATATCTAAACAAACTCCAAGTAAGTTAGGGCATCTGGTCTTAAGACTATGCCAAAGTACATATTATGCAAATGACTGCACACGAGTAGTAGACTGATGATTCGCCATGCCAACCCCAGAAGTGAAAATGTAAAAGAAAGGGAGTGTGCCTTTGCATACCAACATTATTACACTTTTAATAACTCACACATATGCCGGGGGAGGTCTCCTATAGATTCAAATATATTCTGAGCCTATACCTTTATACATTACTGTGATATTTGCCGTGACTGATAGGAAGACAAGACACTGTCCTCCCGTTAGACTGATGACACGTCCGCAGTGTTTGCCCAAGAAAAGCACAAACTGTCACGCTTCACTTTTATGAGATGAGTAAGAGTCTGTCGCCGCAATGATCCATGGACTGTCCAGCTCTGCAGCTCACCGCATGCAAATGTTACAAGTATAAATGAGATGGCCAAGGAGTAATATCTGGGAGAGCTTTGAATGATGTATGCAGTGTTAATCTACAAACAGTATATCATACAGCGGTGTTACGTTCACTTGATGGACAGGGCACGTGCGAAAGCAAAGAAAGTTCACGTGGCGACAATGGAGATGTTGTGTACTCATTTTTGTGTGAAAAATCCCAAAATTGAACCTCGTTTAGTATTTAAAGTGTTATTTTGAAAGAACAAAAGTGCCATTTCAAGGTGTACTTTGAAACCTTTCTCGTGGAAGATCCGCCACCTGGTTGACTCTGTGCAAATGCTATGACTTGAATCTTCTATCAACCTGGAGAAAATTAGGCTATGCAGCCAGTCTATGTCCAGGTCAGATCTGCGGAGAGGCAATCCTGCACACATGTATGTTTTCCTAGGTGTATTTTATTGTTATAAACTACTGTGACTGAATACATGCATATAAGTAAGGTTAATGTCATACTGTGGTAGCCAGGCTGGTGCCACCTAGTGCCTCCACCCAATTTAATTTCTCTCCTGAGACTAGGTCAGGAATCGGAATACACTAGATGGTTTGCAAGATCCCCAGAAATGCGAGTCCGGCCAATCAGCATTCTGTGTTGGCAACGATTCCCGAGATCGATGATTTAAAGCCTGAACAAAAAGAATGTTTGGTGAATTTTATCAAGGGTAAAGACGTTATTGCCCTTCTTCCTACGGGATTTGGGAAAAGCTTAAGATACCCGTTAGCCCCTTTTGTGGTGCATTACATACCTCACAACCAAATAGCAGAGATTGGTTAAATAAAAAAAGTACCCCCTACTGTCGAGCGAACAAATTCTAATGCAGACAGTTTCCATGAAGCGAAACCGACTGATAAATCAGGCCAATACTGTGGAACATTCCAGGCAAAACAATATCATCTCTTTGGAGACTTGCATCTGGCGGACTTCCCATCAGAAAAGTAATAAAAATGCTGATCTGTTCTTGCAAAACTAACATTTAATTGGTCAAGTGGGGTACTACTTAAGCTGTTTTTTACTGCTGTATTTTTTGGTTTAGGTTCAAGTACAAGTGATAAAAACAAACATACTTAAACTCTTGTACAAAAAAGTAAATGAACAACTTCAGGCTCATTCCCTTTGGGCACAAAAACAACTCTCTTCATATGCAGTCCGTAGTTTACCGAGCTAAACAAGGTAGGCTCCTGAAACAATATGAAAAAGTCAGGCCAGATGGAGGTATTAAGAGTCAGCTGATGTCTTGGGGAGGTGCGGCGCTGCGAACTAAGAGTGAAAGATGACGGAGAGGGAGACAAAGTAGATTGGTGGGGCTGGGTGCGGGGGTGAGAGGGTGGGGGTAACGGGTGAGACGGGAGAGATCGCGTCGCGCTCGGGACGGTTAGCTTCGAGTAAACAGTTTGAGACGGATTTCTTTTCGCGCAGGTGATGAATGACAACTACCGCTCCGCTTTGACGCTTCCTTATACCTTTTCCCTAACCCCCTCCTCCCTCTCCTCCTCCCTCTCCTCCTCCTCTCCTCCTCCCCGCTCTTCATTACTGCACTCCTCTGAGCAAACACGCTTAGAAAACAAAGAGCATAAGCCGCAGACGGAGGCAGTGTTTGGATAGAGATGACAGAGGAAGACTGCTAACATAAGAGCGCTGAAGGGCTGATGGTTAGATATGGGGCCATTTACATCCACAATATCCCGCTACGCAAGACAAAGCGCCGCCATTACTTTTGAATTAGGACGGCTCCCTCCTCCGTCACCTGTTGAGCCCCTTTCGAGAAAGTGAAACGCAACAGCAGCTGAACAACGGCGCGGCGGATAGCGTGCACCTTGGTCATTCCTAGCGTGCAGGAGGTAGATTCCCACGGGCCATGGGAAAGAGAAAGGCATGCACCCCAGTCTTCATGGTTATTTTTGTAGGACATAAAAGAGAGACCAATAGCTCCCTGTTATCACTGTTGGGCAAGATACTTTAAAACTGTAATGCGTTATTTATGACTTGTTACTGTCAAAGTAATTTGTAATAACAATGTTACAGTATTTAAAATGTAAGACATTACATGATTATTGCATTACTTTTAAGTTACTCTCACCAAAATAACTGCGAAGGTGCTGAACTTTTGCGCTGTATATGGACTGAACCAGGACTACACAAGGACTAAACCAAAACTGAAACAGAGCTGAACCCGGACTGAACCAGGACTAAACCAGGACTAAACCTGAACTGAACCAGAGCTGAACCAGGACAAAACCAGAGGCAAACTAGGACTAATCTTGGACTAGGACTTGGAATCTAGGACTGCCCCTGAAAGAACCCCAAGCCCATGAAGCAGGGTGTCCGCAAAGCGCAATCGGGAGTCAGCTGCGATTAGCCCTGTGTGGTGCCAGTCCTTTCGCCCACAGTCACCTGACGGTCTACACTGGCACACCTCTGGACCTGTAACGATGGCGTTTCACCGCTGCTGATATTGCGGTGATTTTAGCAAATTTGTATGAAGAGAAACGAAAAACCCACCACTTCAGTCCAGGTTAAAATGCATTGTGACGCGCGTTACTGACATTTGTACTGAGTAAAACCAAAAAATTTTTCCCTGTAATGCCGAACATCACTGCCTTACAGCAAAAAGCACTGCATTACAGTAATTTGTTACTTTTATAACGCATTACTCCCAGCACTGCCTGTTAGTGGGTAGTACACTTGCCGTTGGTGTCTGGGGTGTCTAGGTTTGGCTCCATAAGACAGAAAATAAGCTAAAACACTGCATGTCCTAGTTCCAAGCTGTATGAATCAGTCTTGGGTCAGGAAGGGCATCAGACCTACAGCTGATTTGTAAAATGAATAAAGAAATCAGATGCTTTTTCACATCAGTAACTCTCCCTACTTTCTAATATAGCAGCATTGCAAACAGGATGTTATTAGCCAGACTCTGAGCAGTGCAAGTTATTTGTAGACTACTTCCTGAAAGGTGCACTATGTAACATTTCTACTGGAGATATTATTGTTTTGCCCTGATTATTCCACAGTAGGAAGAATAAACTTGGTAATCACAATGGAGACAGGTTAGATCTATGGAGAAGCAAGCCTGCATGGAGTAAGAAATCATGTTTGGTTAGATAATTTTGAGCTATAAAACACGTGAAACTGAACAAATGCATGGGAGATATGTTAAATGCCCTACTGTGGAACATTCCAGGCAAAGAAATAACATCTCTGTGGAGACTAGTAGTGGACCCTACACCTTAAAAGTTACACAGTGCCCCTTTAACATGGAAAACCTGATCATTTTGGGTTACTCATTCTGGTAAATAGTACTGCGATATTACTATTGCTATTACCGTATTTTTCGGACTATAAGGCACAATATCAATAATGTTGATTTCTCTTGTCTATTTTCATACATAAGATGCACCGGATTATAAGATGCATTAAGAGAAACAAACAGACGACACTTGAGACTGATCCCTTAGCCCAGGCATCCACAATCCATTGGCAGATCGTGGTGTAATTTGCCCGGTGTTGCCTCTGTTTTAGTGAATCTGTGTTATGTGTTTGTTTTTTATTTTCAACGAGGAGACTCAAATATACATTGAGTTATAATGTGTTTAAAGCAGCTTTGTGCACAGTTCTTTACGTTTCACATCAACAAAACTTTAAACAACGTAGTCCGCAAGGCTCCTGACTACGGTAGTCTGCAAGGCTCCTGACTATGGTAGTCTGACAGTCCATCAAGTGGTGCGTCTTCGTAGTTTACCAAAGTCGTACTAAAACATTTTGACAGATTTTTGAGCGCCTTGTACCACATAAAATCTGTTCGAGGTCAGTAAGCACAACCAGAATTAATACAGAAGGTGCACTTTCGATTTTTGAGAAGGATTTTAAGTGTGCCTTATAGTCTGAAAAATACGGTACTTTAATTTCTGATATATTACACACAACTAGGAACATATTTTTGGGGTCACACATGGGGTCACACATCATAAATACACTACTTTTTCTTACAATTAATGGTGACTAATATAGGCTTTCTTGTACATGGACATTAACTGAATACATAATGTATTCCAGCATTAGTTAAGGAACAGCTTTGCTCAAGGAATCTTATTTTCTCTCCCCAGGTCGTTTTTGAAGCCGTGGTCTCGGACAGCAAAGTGGGCTTCATCGCCGTGGACGACATTCAGGTGCTCAGCTACCCGTGCGGTGAGTCGTTAGCATGGCAGCAATTAGCCATAGCCCGCTGAATAAACGCTGATAGCTTTGGCCACTAATTAGACTGTACCCGGGATGGTTTTCAGTCGCAGCCGAGTGGGCAGATAAGTGGGAAGGTGACACAGGAGAGACTGGCGTGTATACGGTCTGGGGTAGGAGACGTTAAAAAAAAGGAGAGATTGTACGCGGAGGAAGGGAAGAAAGGATGGAGGAGAGCGAAGCGAGAAATGAGCCAGTATTAGGGCAATCATGAGTAGAGAGGATTCTGACCACTCAGCAGTTTGCAAACACACACACACACTACGAACACTGGCTGTCTTGTCTGAGAGATGAGGGCTGCAATCCATTTGAAATTCTCCCTACGTTTCAAGTCCCCTTCAGACTTTCCCTCCACCCTAAGTCCACTCGCCACAATCAGGACTAGATACTTTAAACAAGTGTCTGTTAATGTAGAAAACATAGCTGTATTTTTCTAGTGCCCTCCAGTCGCGAGAAGTAGCAATTAACATCTGTATTCGGTAGACGCGGCGGTTCAGAAAGCCCAAGGGACATTTCTGTTTCCTATTAGACTCCATTGATTATCAGTCATAGAAATAAACTGCCCTGTACATTTCCTCTTGTACGGCCGTTGAAGTATTTGTATTACGTCAAGAAGCTGTCAATATGTCTATGAGCAGAATCACGAGATATTTTCGTCAACAAACGGTTCACCTTGGTGGTTCTAAAAGCCTGTCGCGGCCTTTCAACGTGCAATCAAATCACGCTGTGTAATTTGTATAGGAATAAGAGGGGCCAATTCAAACACTGGGTCTAATATCGCAGCAATGACCTTTTTATGAAGCGACTACAAGATTTTAATGAGCTAGAAATATTGCGGACTGTGGGCTTTCGGCGTAGAGAACTGTTATATGTAGCATTTAATGGGTCTAGGCCATTCATGTATTACTATGAGAAAATTAAACCGTAATATCAAATGGGTGCACTGACCACCTCTAAAAACAAAGAAAAAGTCAATCACCTCATTTTGTTTTATTTTAACATTGAATTCTACACGGTCAAAGATGGATTTTGCAATTTTAATCATTTTTTTTGTCAATAATAAAGTTAAAAGGCTCATATTACTCTATTTTTATCTATGTTAGAATATTTTTTCTTCATCAAAACAATACCTGGAGTTGTGTTTTGTTTCTTTCACGCATTTTTAACACACAAATCCTGCGAGCTCTTCTCTCGGACAGAAAAATCTCTGTTCCACCTTGTGATGTCATGTCTTAATACAGGAAGTGCTCCACTCCATACACCTTCACTAGAATCATTTGGACAATTTCAGGTTTGGAATTGCCGATCTCTACTGAACAAAAGGTAAAAGGAGATGTTAATAATAATTAAATAATAAGGGATTACTCATAAAACATGTATGAATGAAACAAAACACAAATCCAGGTCTGTTTTTGAGGAGGTAACAACATTCTAACATGACTTGAGGCTCACAAGAGTCAATTTTGTATAATATAAGACCTTTAAAGGTACAAATATTTTCAAGGCCACAGTCTCTGCAAAGCAACACAGTGGCAGCATTCATCCTCACAGCTGCATTTGGACAAGCGGGTTTGGACTCTGCCTGTGTGTGCGCGCGCTTAAACACATTTGCATGACCTGTTTGTGTGTCAAGTTTTTAGCAGCTAACGATGATTGCAATCACCAAAACAGAATAAAATAGCCCTCAGAAGATCAGAGCTTGAATTTCTTATTTTGTTTCAACTTTTATGAGAAGGGTGTCTCTGCTCTGAGCCAATGCAGGAAGGAGGTTTTGGTTTCATCTCAGATCTGTTTAAGTTGGGCAGATGCAGCTAAAATGAATTTATTTCTGCGCCTTGCTAAAAGTGAAAGCATATTTGGTGCTAACTCTCCTTGTGTGTGTTTTGTATGTTTACAGATAAGTCCCCTCACTTTCTGCGCCTGGGGGACGTGGAGGTGAACGCTGGGCAGAATGCCACCTTTCAGTGTATTGCCACAGGACGAGACCACCAACAACAAGCTCTGGCTACAGGTAAGCACTCTGTTCTTGTAAGACTGCCTTTTCCTCTTTTCTCTACCAAGCATGGTTCATATTAGCCCGATTCATCAGCTGGTTTCATTTGGGCACTTTTTATCATTTAACCAGTCGCTGCTATTTGGTCAGGGCTAACTAGTATATTAAACTTTTCCCAAATTCTGTAGGAAGAAGGACAATAACGTTTTTCCCCTTGATGAAATTCACCAAACATTCTCTTTGTTGCGGCTTTAAATCCTCGATCTCGGGAATCGTTGACAACACTGAATGTATGACACTTCACTGATTGGCTGGTGCCCGAACTCACACCTCCGGGGTTTTTGCGAACCGTCTAGTGTATTGTGATTCCTGACCTAATCACTGGAGAGAAATGAAATTGAGCAGGGGCACTAGGTGGCGCCGGCCTGACTAGGTTCATATGGCAATAACATGAATGATGTTTTTTCTTCCTCATCTTGGTTTTTTATACATTTTTTTCTTTTCAAAAACAAAATAAAATATTCAATATATGTATGGAATGTACATTCTTTACAATGGTACATGTAACTTTAATGAAATCATAGCACAAATAACAACAAAACATTTGCCCAAAAAGGAGCAGGAAGAAGGACATTTATTTAATCTCACCCCCCTTTCTAATCTAACACAATGAACTTTCTTTTACATTTTTTCAGACATTTTATATTAAACTATATGAACTATTTACAAGAGTCACTGTTATAGTTTGGTAACATAACTGTGTTGCAATAATACATAAGGATACCAACAATGGTACACAGCACAGGAAACAACAAACATAAAGCATCACTACAGAATGCAGTGCTGTTCTAATATTAAGACCCACTCTCTTTATACTATGACCAGACCATATGTTTATATAACAGCTTGAATATATCCAATGTTCAATATTGATTTCATGAACGTAAACAACTTTTATTTAGTGTTGCCTGGCATGATATCTCTGTATTTTTTATACAGATGGACATAGTCGGGTCCCCAAGCCCTCCATTACGACTCAAGTCCAACCAAACATGATCGTGCTGTGAAAATTTTATTTCCCTGACCTCAGATCAAAAGAGTTTAGCGTTTCACTCACAATTCTGCAGAAATTCATAATGGTTTTCAGTGCCTTGTATATTATTTTATTTTCAATTTTTCTTGTTCTGTTTTGATACGGATGAACCATGCATGTCCATAATTGGCTAATCCACCTGTCAATCAAAGCATTGTGTTTATTGTAGATCCCAGGCAATAATCAACACCAAAATAGCCCAGATTTTCCTCCAAAGTCTGTTTTCACCCCATTTTCCTCTTCTGCTTCTTGTGCTTTTTCCATTCTCAATCCAATGACACCAAAACAATAAATGTTAGCTGTTAAAACCTGGCCTGTAGCATGTTTGGATTATGAACAGAATAGAAAAAGATAATGTATTATAATATTAAGAGTGAATGTGGAAGCTTTGCACCAGACTGTACTCAGTCACTCTTATGTGCGCCTAGAGTCCGCCCCGGGCCATACATCCTCCCTGCTAACATAATTAAGAGGTTAATAGCTGACGATTTCATTATGGCTCTATTGTAGTCCTGACCTTCAGACCTGCTGTCATCAACTAAAACGTGTAAAACGTTTATACTAGAATACACGGTCCAATTCTGCCTTGTGACCTTGAGCAAGGCACTTAACCCTCCCCTGGGCCCCCCTTAAGGCAGCTGATCAGTCTCTCTCTCTGTCTGTTTTTAATGCTTTTTAGAGGAGAAATGGAGAGGATATACCTGTGGCTCAGACTAAAAACATAAACCATCGTCGCTTTTCTGCGTCCTTCCACCTGAACGAGGTGACCAGCCAGGACCAGGACCAGTACCGCTGTGTGACGCAGTCTGAGCGCGGCTCCGGGGTCTCCAACTTTGCTCAGCTCATCGTCAGAGGTAAGAGCCAATGTGTTGCTTTTGTATAAATAGAGTTAGGATTTTCTATTCTTTTCTTTTTCTTTTCTCTCATTCTAAATAATCCGGTTTTGTGCCTTTGAATCCTGCTACTGCAACTAATGTGCAAATTTGACTTGCCTTATGCCCCTGATCAAACAAAATATTTCTGTGTTTGGATAGATTAATGAAAAGATGTTTTTGTTCGCTCTAAATCAGTTCTCTCTTGTGTGAACAGACCATAGTATTTTTAACAACGAATGTGGTAATTCCTGCCATTATTTATATTTTGAAAATTGGTGAGCAGAGGTGGTGACTTGTGAGTTATAACTTGGACTCGAGTCAGACTTGAGTCACAATTTTTAGGACTCGAGACTTTACTTGAGAAAATAGACTAAGACATGGAACTCGACTCTGACTTGGGACTTGACTCGGAGTTGAGGCCTGTGACTTGAGAAGACTTGATGCTTCTCCTAAAAAATATATATGTTTTTAGAAAATACTTTTCTCTTTTCAATTGATAAATGCAGTGCTTAATTTTACAGGAACAAACTGGAACATGTCCCTCCCACTTCTCTGTTTGTTACTTTGGATGTAACTGAAGTACTGTGATCTGGTATCCTCAAATGTACTACAGTAATATTCAGTACATTATAGTAAAACAGAGAGAATTATAGAGAACATGATCTATCAGGACAGAACTGTTATTTAGCACTTTTAAATCTGAATTCTTTCTATTCTGACTGTAATGATTCACACTAAGATCTTGCCATGACATTTATATAAATGCTCTCATATAAATACTTAACGTATATAAATAAGTACCATTTAGTTTAAAAGTCATATAAACTGCTAAAATCTAAGCTATATTTGTTACTTTGGTTTAAAAACTTGAAATGACTTGAGGCTCAAAGCAGACGACTTGGACTTGACTTGGACTTGGACCAGTGACTTGAAACTCGACTTGGACTTGCTTGTCTTTGACTTGGGACTTGACTCGGACTTGAGCTCAAAGACTTGAGACAAAACAACGACTTGGTCCCACCTCTGTTGGTGAAGTATTGAGAATAAATCCAACCCCCATCTGACCTCTTAAGGGTCTTAAAACTAGCATCTGCAGGTTTATTAGATTTTTTTTCTTTTACAAGGCAGGTGTGAGATCTGTTTCTCCTCCCCCCTTCCCTTACATGTTCAGGCTCACCTTTGCTTTTCTGTCAGGTCAAAGCTGGCACACTATCAGACAGCAGTAACATAGATAGCATTTACTGGTGATATGTGTACATTTTTTGAATCCTGACCAGGTTTTCAAAATAAAAAAGTGTGATATCCCTGTTTTGGGTTGGTTGGTTATATTATAAAATTGTAAAACTAGTGCATAATTAAGAAAAATTGTTTGCACTCAGCACTAATGTGAGTCAGTGTAGTCACATTTTCTTTGTATTTTGGTAATTTTTAAGCAGCTTTTCTGTATTTTACCTAAACAAATGACAACATATGCCTCTCTTTACTGTTTTTTTGTTTTGTTTTGTTTTTCAAATTGATCAAAAATAGGGACACCTGGGACATTTCTTGTACATTTCTGGGACAAATCAGTGGTTTTGGATAAATCTGCTGGGACAGGGGACACAGAGCTCAAAATTGGGACTGGCCCAGGTAAACAGGTAAACATCTGGTCACCCTAGACTTGTAGCAATAGGCCGGCTGAAGGTGCTGTTTTTTGTATCATTTAAATGCTTTCACCAATTTTGAGTATCATTTACACTCAAGAGCACCATGCATTAACAATAATCAGTGTATAATGAGTTACGGTTTACTGCGCATTCTAAAAGATCTCGAGACAACAGTACATATAAACACGTACTTCTATTCTCACAAATTTGCAGCGCTTTGCCTGGAGGATAATTGACAACAACTTTACGCCAATCTCTCGAATCTTGAACCATGACCCCGTAACCCCCCGGTTTCGCGTTAACTTGCATGTCAAAACGTCTCTCGACAATCAGCGCGCCTCCACTCGTACAATGTAAGTCGCGAACACAATATAGCCTAATGAGAGGTTGCCTGTGTATGGGTGTCTGTGCGCGAGCAGCTGCCATGTGGCTATGACATGCGCTTAATAAGGTGTCACCAATGTGTGTGCTTCAGACGGGATGCTTTATTCATTCACACCCAATAGCTTACATTTAAAATTTATCAAGAACGACACTCGATACTGGGACAAGCTTTACAGATCTGCATTGAGTGATGGGGGGGTGACTGAAGGAACAGGGGGGATGGGAGAGTAAGTTATATGTAAATAGATTTCTCATTATAAAAACTATATCCATATCAAGCTCGCATATGTAAACAGACCAGGAATATGTATCATTATTCATAAGATATGTAGAAAGCAAATATAAATCAAAGGAAAAGGATTATAAATATGCATGTCAACCAATGGAGATCAGATAATAAGGCTTTAACACATGTCCTGGCCAATTCTCACTTGGCCAGGAAATTAAGGGTTGTAAATAAAATGCTGAATATGATATTGACACTTTTTCTGCTTGCTTTTGCTGATTTAGGAAAAATACAGTACACTTTGCTAATTCTAATGCTTTTTTGAATACACACTGGGGTTTAAACATGAAGGGGACTTATCTACATGTAGGAAAAACATATATCTAAGGGCATTATATAGGTACTTCTGCAGTCGTGACAAAAGAAGTCTACTTTCTAGGCCGTGCCATTATGAATATTGATTTAGGAGAGTTATGTTTCACAATGAAAGAGTGTATGATTCTACTAGCAGCAGATTCTCATGTTTATGTATCAGAAATATCAAATGGAAATGTGATCCTCCAGAAATCAAAGATGGGGAGTATGTTTGCTTGAAATAATAGTATATTTTTTGACGTTTCCTTCAGGACATAGACGACCACGAATAGCGGAGTAGTTCAGCTGCATTACAGGTTCCATATTTGTATTCAAATTTTCATGCGAGTGAGAGATACAGTAAGTAAGTAAAGGGCTATCTATGAACGTGACTGATAATACAGGCAATGTATTCATAAAGATGTGCGAAAACATAAATTGTATACATTAAAAATGATTGGCAGCGGCATTGGTTTCATTTTTGAGAGTGGAAAAAGTGGTCTACTCCGTGAAATTGCCTCAGACCAGGCTATTGATATTTATAACATGGAGATGACAGAGGAGTGCCATTATGGGCGAGAGAGAAGACTGACTGAAATGTACCATAGGGAAAAAATAATAATAAGAAGAAAAATCAGTTTGATCAAGATATTTCGGATAAGCAAAATTGACCATTGACAACAAGAAGACTTTTACTTTCATATAAATATTAATTTGTGTCCATTTGTTTATGTGGGAACCAACAAGTTTGTGTCTTGATTAAACCACAAAATTCTGAACACCATTATGTGATTTTCCATAATCAAAGCTTTATATTAGAGCTACATTGATATACTGGACCAATATTTTTGCATAGTGGCTATCGGACTAAATTCTCCAACAGAGGCCGATATTTTGTTTGGGTCAACCAGACGCCTAAAGAACAAGCATACACCCTTATTTGAAAACTTAACTATGAAGAGGACACTGCAAAAAATGTGATTGCAACACTGCACTTCGGTTGTGGCTGTCCTTGGTAGGGTTGGGTATCAATAAGAAGTTGCCAATACGATAAATCCCTCGATAAATAGGCCACGATACAATACATATCTCGATTCAGTGCACTTTTGATTCGATACGATGTATTTCAAATCGATTCGATACGGTTCAATAAAAAATAAAGGTTAAATCATGGCAAAAGTCTTTGTTAAACCACTTCTTGTGCAAAGTTAAGATGAAAAACGCCCATTTCAATAATAAAAACAGTGAATATGTCAAATGTGTCACAAGTTTCCTTTCACTAAATGAGAAACAAAACTGTAGCACTGTAACAAAATTATTTAGTAAAATATTTAAAAAAATACTCTTGGCGATATATCGATACAGCAGCACACGATATCAATACTGTATCATCACATTAAACAATACGATATAGTGTTGATGAAGAGCAAGTAGTCGAAACGCGTTGGCGTGACTATTAATAAATTCAACGCAAATCTGAGTGCCTCTGCCATCCTTTTTTCTATTTTACGAGAATCTAAGCCCTCCGGTTTGATGAGCACCTGTATGTGTAATTTTTTTGACCCAGTGTAGCTGTCCAATTTTGTTATTTTTAATACAATATATTGATTTGGTATTTTTGCACACCCCTTGGTCATCAGCAGATCTTATCTTTAATTATTTTATTTTATTTAATGAGACAGGGACAGCGCACAATTTTTACATTAACCTTAACAGAAGAGATGAATTGTACCAGGTTGTAGCACCAGTGTTAATTTCCACCTGTCGTGCCTGGACAGTTTCATTGATTGATTGTATTTAACTGAGCTTAACTATCAACTGTTCTTCCTGGAGACCTGTGTAGCATGTTTTGGGTTGGGTCAGCTGTCATTGTCATCTGAACAATCTGTATTGGTCACAAAAAACAAACACGCATATTGTTCTATCACAAATTCTACATTAAAAAACAACCAGAATGTCATATGCGACTCAGAGAACCATAGTTACATGCTGTAACCATAACCCTCCAAGTCTCACAGTGGCTTTCATAAACAAAGCTTTTCCTCCAGTCATCCTGAGCCGATAGCCAGTCCTGAAGAGCTCGGAAAGAGTCTAGCCCTGCTGTTTCCCAGTACGCGTGTGTCACTTGTGGTTTGGTCAGCACTCTGCTCCCATGATGCCGTGCCCCCTGGTTTCTACGACACAGCGCATCATCAACAAACACAACACACAAACACTCCTCGTCACGCCACTTTGCATTACGCACAAAAACATGGCCTGAAAAGCTCCCACGACATTACTGTCACACACACACATCCACACGTACATATTTATGGGAAAAATAACATAATTCACAACTGTTTGTTTTATGAACATTTATCTGAACTGTC